AACATATGGCAATCTGCGGTCTTTCCTTGCACTTAGGTGGCACGGAAAGCCGTAAAAATCTTGAACAAAAGCTCATCTTTCAAACCGGCAGTCTAAATCCCACAGGGATCAATGAACGCTTTTCATTCCACTAATTTATTCATGTTTTTCTCGTTGCCATGCACCCACCAATAACGTAGCTCCATTTTCTGCCTTTAAAAGCACACACAACCCACAATTCCTCTATTCGCTCCGACGAAGGGCTAACGCTCGAAACGTCAGCTTTTGTAATCATTACGGTGGCCAATTTACCATTTCAACTTTGTTAATATATCCAAATTATATGTAAAAAGGTTTCCTTGGATAAAACTGTCTAGTATTAAGATCACAAAATGGAAGGAAAATAAACAAAAGGTTGAGGGGATGGGGTTGGGGATGGGGTTGGGGGTGCAGGAGCTGGGGCGCAAATCCTGACTTGTCCCCGACATGGTCTCAGTATAGTTTTCCTTAAAAACGCCCAAAACATGGCACTGAAGTGAAAGGGTAAAGAGCATTCGTCAAACCCCAATCCCGCGTGAAGTTTGCCGCTCGTGCCATGAGGAAGACGGCAGATAAGTGAGACACACTAGTGAAATCAGGACAAAAATACAAACATAGGCGCAAGGAAAATTAAAGGAAACTATTGACCAAACAATTCCGAAAAAGATATGCAGTTTAACGAAATTTAGAATGTCTCTTATTCTGTTTAATTCAAAGGGAAATTCATGGATTGGTCGGAGACTATCTTTCCCTGAGCCAGGTTGCTAATAACGACGTTAACTGTTCCTACAGTTTTGCTGGACCGAACTTTTTCAACTTTGGACTGGGACTAGCGCTGCCAAAGGCTTCACCATGGCTACACGATGTCAATCAAGCGGTTCTAAAACACCACGAAAATGGTACAATAGAAACTATAGAACGGCGATGGTTCAACAAAAAGACCTGCGATTTAAATCCATTCAAACAGCTTGAGATAATAAATCTGAGTGGTTTGTTCATGACAGTGGTCATTATTATCGCCTTCTGTATACTGGCCATTTTCGTGGAGTTTGGCATCGTCATTGCCATGATTAAGCTCGGCGACCGTCTCGGGGCAATAGGAAAGTTCATGAAGAGCTTCGTTTTGAACGTGAAGGAAGGAGAAGAAGCACATCTTCACATGCAATATTCGTTTATATTCAGACGCCAGCGAAAGGCAAGCTGGGATATTGCGGCTGCTAATGCGAGAGTTGCGAGAATCACAGGAGTGGAGCTTGGTTTTCATAACAACGAACACTGCTCCTCTCGAGAACAGTCACTGACATCACTGGGTCACGCGAATTCTGACATGATTGGCAATGGGAATATCACGACGAATGGAGTTTACCAAATGAACAGCTATGCACACACCAACGGGCACATTAGCCGTAATAGAACAAGAAAATTGAAAGAAACTGAAATGATGACAACTCTATAACATGAGCTTTAATGATTGTTTCTTCTAAACTGTACATTTTGCAAAGCTATCATATTTATTAACCTGTATCAAACAACGCTTGAGTTTTAGAAAGTCTAGTTCAACATGAAGCCACTCAATTTTGTTAATCTTGGCAAGGAAGGTCTCTATAAAGAGGAGCGTTTTCAATGCTTTAATATCACGGGCCGCCCACTTATACCTGCTCCTGACGTCAATTGGAACGCTTGTGTAAAGTAGAACCCAAATCACTGTTGCTCATTTATTTTAGCAGCAGAGCAAACGATAGGAGAAAAACTAAAATAGCTCTTGCTCCATGGGTTTGCCAACCCATGACCCATACTTCGATGATCTGAAATACGCGTACATCATCTGCTTCGCTTTTTGGAATTCGATCGCCATCTTTTTTGCTTCACTGTAAGTTTCAACGTTCACTAGGTCTTCACGACCGATCTTAGTACCGATCTCCTTGAAAGATGCATAAAGTGCGGCCTTACATATACGCGAAGGAGTGGGGCTGTTATTTGTGCGCGACATGCATGCTCCCGTTCTACCATCAGTGATCTCAGTCGTCGTGTCTCCAATTGACCAATTAATACTAAGATTATTAGTCTTTTCAGTTTCGCGTGGCGGGTCGTATGCTGTAACACGACCGAGCCACGGGTGATTCACGTAATATGGAGCCGGCAGCTGCGTGTTGAGGTCACTGTTGTGTTGAAGGCGGCAGCAAACTGCGCGCGATAAATGACCATGGTCGTACAAGTATCCAAGTGTTAGGGACGTAAGGTAAACTGGCTCGATGAAGTGACTAAGTAGTCCACCTTGAAGTCCAAGAACGTTCCAGCGACAAATCTTGTCACTACACGACATGGTGCGTAACCGTTTACCGCGTAAAAGCCCGTCCCATGTTTGAATACCATCTGATGGATCAATTGGAATGGTACCCTCGCCATCTTCGATCTTTGTGCGCAAAATGCCCTGTTGCTTGGTTGTAAATGTAGGATTATGCTCTTTGGAGTGCTCAGAGAGGTCAGTGTTGGGTTCTTCTCGGGGAGTAAACAAGGCACCATCACCACACGGAGCTGTGCTGATGTAAAGGTGAAATGATATACCTTCACGAACTTGAAGCTTGGCTGGCCCTTCTTTCGGGACAAAAATCGACTCATTTCCATCGCAGTAGCTGTTTAATTGTCTGTAAAAGAATCGCATCAGAGACCTACGAGCAACAATTTCAGCATGGGAATCGTTCACCACTTTTCCTTCCATACTCAGCCTTTCTCCAGTGACGCAACGGTTACCAGTTCCCACGGCAACAACTCGGCCAGAGTCTTCTGGGCTATTTTTCATAACGATGCATGCCACAACCTTTCTGCCAGCAAAATTAACGGATATGGAGGCTGCAATTTGCAGGAATGTATGAAGTGAAAGTGCGGCTATCAGATCAAAGTGCGTGCGAACTTTGCTCAAAACGCTTGCAGAAGGGTCAGTGATAGTCAAAGATCCCTCCTCGATACCTGTGTTCATATTGCGGCCCAATAATGTTCTCAAAGCAACGTCGGAGGCTTCGCGTCTTGCATCTTTTATGTTTCGTGCTTCTGCAGAAGGGAACAGCTTTCCGTTTATCTTGGCAGCAACCACAAATGCGCGACCTTGGCTGAGTGATTCGAAAGTCAGCTCCATTTTGTTTTTTTGCACGTACTCGTTCAGAGCACTAACAGGATTTTTGTTGATTGCGGAATAAGCGACACTAGAGAGCACTTCTGGAGGATTTTTTTCCGATCCATGGGAAGATGCAGGTTGTGCCATTGGGTTACTCCTAGAGCTGTGCGCGAACTTTCCTTGAAGAGAGGGCCCAAAAAAACTCAACCCACTCCCTGCATGAGTCGGAGAAGTTTCCGCCTGCTGAAAGTGTTTCTTAATTCCCAATTGCACTTGTTCTTGCTCATCGGCAGTGGGAAATGCTCTTTTCTGGGCAGGCGCAGTGGAGCTGAGTTCAACTGGCTTAGAACCTTCGAATGTCAAAGAACTTACTTCTTGACGAACCTTCCACGTTGGCGGGTGTTCGTGCATCTTGTAAATCAAGCCCAACGACTGCAGTTTGTAAAGAGTTGGGTTGATCTCCTTCTTTCTGTGCAGACCAAATTTCTTGGCCAACTGGAGAGTTTCAAAAGACTTTCTTTCACGTTGCATAAATTCCAGTATCCCCGCTTCGAGATCACTTAACATTGAAGCTTGATTAGATGTACAAGCTACTGGGCTCTTGGTCGACGTTGGAACTGCCTGAGGTCCACGGCTGACCAGCTCATGAAAGCGTTCCGCGGAAGGGGGTAGAGGAATTCTACCCACTCCTTCAGTTAGTGAAATATTCGAAGAGTCTTGTAGAGACTTAGCAATAGCACGTTGTGTAGATGGTGGCTTTTTCTGTGGAGTTGATCCAGACGCAAACGAAACACTCAAAGGATGGGCCGCTTGAGGCTGTGTGCAGGGAACTGATCTGACATTGAATGACTCGTTTTGAGAACTTGTGGTTCCATCTTCCTGCGAAGCGTTGGTCTCTTCAAGATTCCCTTGGTTTAGTTTAGTATCAGCTGGGTTGACAAGAAAAGAATTTGATGACATCTTTACAGCAACATTGGAGTTCAAGGGTGTTTGAACATCCAAGAACGATGGTGGGGAAAATCGTGATGCTGCTACTGGAGGTCGACTTGGTCGTGGGAATAAAGACGGCATCAGTGGAAGAGGTGGTCGAGACCTTGTGGAGTGCAGATTTGGGTGTGACGTAGGGGAGACGGTTGGCCTGACTGCCATGACGACTGGAGCTGGTTTCCTAGAGCACTGTGACATCAAGGCGTTGTAAAAATGAGCCGAGGGAGGTGGAGGGGGACCTCCTGCCAACGATGTGCTTCCTTTTTGGCTTGATAGAGGATCAGATTTAGACTGCCTGGGTTGGAGAGATTCACTTTGGTTTGTGGTAGAAGGAAGAGGCTCACTCTGACTGGTTGCAGGACTGGTGGTGGACTGTTCCTGATTTGCTTCCACTCCCTTTTCAAATTCATCTGATTCATAGTCTGGCACCAGTGTCCCTAATGGTGGTATATCTTCAGCTGCGTCATCACCATCCTTGCCTTCCTCAGTTGTTTCTGCAATTCTCCACATAGGGGGCATTTGCAGGATTCGTATGATCCTTTCCTCTTGTTCCAATAGATTGATACACTTGATTGTTCTTTTTTCAGTGGCAGAGATGGAAATACTGTGCAAAATATCACTAAGAGTACACGGATGTGGTTTGCTCTGAATTACCTTTAAAATCTGCTTTTGAAGAGTACTGATTTCTCTATCTCCTGACTGTAGTGGAGTCTGTGCTTTTTGTTGATTACCAGTAGATGGAATTTCTCTAGGACCAATTTTCTCTCCTGGCGTCTTCTTATCTATTACCCCAGTGTTGAGAGACTCTTTGCCACTTTTTCCCTCTTTTGAGGCACCTAATGAAAATGAAAAGAACAAACATGTGATGTTGTCACCATTTTGATCACTCCACTTTTGGAAAAAAGTCTCACAATCTATTTTGGCAATCATTTTCAGCACAAAAACTAAACACAGATCTTCCTTTATGCAACAGTTTACATGCATCAACAAAGAAGGAGTAGGGGCAGTTGCCATATTAGAACCTAACAAGACACTTGTCACATTCCTGATCATAGCATTAAGCAAGATACTTGTCTCATTTAAATCACGCCCCGTAATGCGTCAGCTAACCATAGGGTTCTGTTATGTGTGGAACCTAAAATCCGGGTTTTAATTCTGCATAAGGGACTCAGATGTTTTTTTCTAGCCCACCCAGGGATTCAGATGGCAGGTATACCATTTCTTCTGTAGTGCACAGGGGTAATTCAGGGGTGATTCAGGGGTAATTCAGGGGTAATTCAGGGGTGATTCAGGGGTAATTCAGGGGTAATTCAGGGGTAATTCAGGTGCACTTCAGGTGCACAGGGGTAATTGTTTTCAAAATTACCTGTAAATTAGTCTTTTGTTAAATTCTGTCACCTTTCCATGTCTTCATGTTTTCTATTTATATGCAAATTTTATTATTTCAGACTTCCATCCTAACTTAGATAGCATTTTTCCTCTTCTCTCCCTTCCTTTTTATATATATTTTTTCTTTTTACGTGTGCATTTGTACTTCAGTTTTCTTGCTGACCTATAATTAATAATTTATTTTTATTTTATACTGATGTCAACTGGCTGCCTGGCTCCGCTAGCCCCTAGGGTTATTCCAGGCAGCCAGTACTCTAACTTATACTTTTTAATATTCTCTTTGTTGTAACTTTTTCTGAGCAAGACTGAGCACAAATAAAGATTGTTGTTGTTGTAATAATTCAAACATTAACTCTCTAACTCTCATGAGTTACCATGACATAATTTCTCTTTACAATATCAATACAATATCAGGCAGAAAAGTGATGAGAATAAAGAAAAATGATAAATTAGGGGATTATGAGTTGATCCAATACCAAATTCTTGGAATTTTCATCCTAAGAAGTTTATGGCAGAAAGTAATGAGAATAACTGGGTTAAGGGCCAACCTTTCCTTCACATCATTTCTTCTCTACCAAGGTGCATTCAGAATTTGCTGTCTAAGTAAGACCTTTATTTAAGTGTCAATGTGTAAAATACACTTGGAATTTTCATCCTAGGAAGTTTATGGCAGAAAGTAATGAGAATAACTGGGTTAAGGGCCAACCTTTCCTTCACATCATTTCTTCTCTACCAAGGTGCATTCAGAATTTGCTGTGTAAGTAAGACCTTTATTTAAGTGTCAATGTGTTTAGCCTAAGAAGACTAATTGGGGACACTATAATTAAAATACACTTATAAAATTATACATTTAGACAAAAATGATTAAAATTTAAAGTTTAGAAAGCTAAAATATTCCTATTGACTTCAAAGATTACAGCAATAATACAATCTCCCCTAGGTTCAGTTTTCTTATTTTGTTTATGAAAACACATAATAAACTTGGCCAATGCCTTTGATTTTTAGTGAGTTTTGACCACAAAAACAGCTTGAGATATCTGACAGAGTGCTTGCCATAGCAAATAGTTTCAAAATGCTGTAATACAAAGTCACTATTCCGTAGAGAATGTGTAGAGCCTTTGCAAACATAATTCCTTTTCAAGGAAAAATTTAAAAGACAAGTATGTGGGGCTGAACCTATAAAAGTGGTAATAGCTGAGGGAAGATCAAGGAGCTTCTACAAAGTGGATCCCAACTAAAATGTGTAAATTAATAGATTACCATCATTGTCTGAAATTACACATTTGTCATGCAAGAAATTGCAAAAAGCCAGAAGCATCAAGAATGGAACATCAACAACAAAAATAGAAAATAACAGAAGACGTTATGGGAAGGAATTATCATCTATCTTAAATAATTTCTATGTAAATAAATCTATTTCTCATGATTCAATGCCATTCAACTTTCAAGCAATATTTCAGTTTCAAATTGGTTCAATTTGCTTTGTCTTTACACGAGACAAAAACATATATGTAGAATGTTGTAGCTTGAAAGAAACATTGAATTGGATCCACTGATGGCTTTGACGCTAAATACAGACTCGGTACTTCGAAAGATGGGATATGGAATACCTTAATTTGCATTTTGGGCGTAAAGCCCGAGCAGAACAAACTTTACCATGCCGCATGCTTAAATCCATCGCTCTTACCATGAGATCTCTTAACGAGCTTAGAAAACGGAAGTAAAAATAATGTTACGAAAATCTTACTCACAGTTGTTCGCTTTCTTCAATGACAGCTGAGAAAAGGAGCAAAACATGCTGGCTGGAAATTTTCCTACGGGGCTTTTAAGGGCTATGAACTGCTTTCCTCCTTCAATTTTCCCCGCCGATTTGCAAACGAAAACTCGTCTTGGATCTTTTAAGACGTCAAGTTCAAAAGCGAAAGAACTTTAATACGAAAATAGGATTCAGTGGGGGAATTTTAAAAAAATCCCCGCAATAGTTTCTTTCAGTTTCGAAATAATTAATAAAGAAATCAATGAAATAAAATATCATAAATAGAAAGAACGCAGAAAGTAAACCAACAAATGTGACAATGTAAGGAATCATACTGCTTCTAGCCTAATAGTATTACATGCGGCAAAATTAGGTGTTATGTGTTGCACTCACTGGCATTTGCGTTCGACGGCAACGTGTCTGTGGTTATCGATGTGCTGCCATCTGTACTTTGTCGGGGATCCCACATTGGAGGTATCGCATGCCTATACGATGGTTTCCGGATGAACTAACTCAACTGCGGCAGCACTCATGGAAATGATGTTTCACGAGGCGCTTCATTATTTAGTAAGCCGAAAATTTCAACGCAGCTCTGATACTTTCAGTTTAGGTTAGCCGCCATGTTTTTTATTACCCATTATTAACAGCGCTTTTTTGGTTTATACCGCTGATCAGCTGAGTCTGTGGTATAAACAAACATAGATGTCAGATAGTTTGACCGCCAAATTACAGGGAATCTTTGAGAAAAGATTTGGCTGATTGCATCTTGTGCATGGACTCTAAAAGTGTTGAATCGCAACTAACTTGATGAAATGGTAGAGGTTCCAGTAAAAGTTGCTGTTCGGGTACGTTGCTCTGAAAATCGGCGCACTAATCTGACATATATCTAGGCAGTAATATAACCAAGAACTTTTAAACTGGCTTTTACAAGTTAGTGAGGTTATTGTAGGACTTCTTCTATTTTATCCCACTATTTGATTTTATTCCTTTGTTTGCTAAAGAACGCTTTTTTCATTTTTTGAGATCGTTGGCGCCTAATTTTATTGAACGATATTTGAGAGTAAAATTCTTCGCAGTTATTTTGGATGTCACACAAGGCTTATTCTATTACAAGTAGCAGTTCACCTAGGAAAGCTTTCCATGATATCTCAAAGAAGACTTGGAGAGTAGTGAACTTGAGTGACAATGGAAGCAGTTGGGAAGACGTGGGGGGAGGGGGTCACTTTGTAGTCAGAACTGAGGACTGAAAAAGTCAAAGAGAGTTTATAACCTCCCTAATACTTCTTGAAATATTTTACCACTGAGACATAGGACACATATGGCAGGTGGGCCATGTGGCTGAGGTAGAACTATTCAGTGTATTTATAGTCATCAATACTGCTCCCATAAATGTACTGCCTTGGTGAAGATTTAAATTAACTTAAATTATAGTTTAACTAGTAGACAATCAGGAGAAATTTTTACTTATAAACAATTGGTTTGAACAGATCATGTGACCAACATGCCATCTAAAGCCTAGGGAATATCCAGATATTATTTCCTATTAAGTGATATCCTTAATTATTAATGTCTTGAGTGCACTTTAATGAGAATTTCCTTTAAAGATTTTGTCAAGTTCAAAGAGTATTTTGCTGCTGTTACTGAAGAGAGTCAAACTTAGAAGTCCTTTGCATGGCATTATCAGATTGGGGCAGTTATAAGAGAGTGGTTCAGGGCCATTTGGTTAATATCTAAGAAATGTGTGATTGTGGTATACCATCAGGTACGCCCTTTGGTTGGCAAGGAGAAAGTCCACAATGTCCCACAGTGTGTACGCTTTATTCCAGAGAAGCCCCAACTGATCCTTGGAAAGGACAGGGGATTCACATTTGATTATGTGTTCCCTCCAATAGCGAGTCAGGTGATGAAGGAATTTATTGTACAATATGCATGTTGCACAGTGTGTACACAATTGACTTGCAAAATTGGGTGGTGATGTAAATGTTAGGTAATTAATTAGTCAGGAGACAGGACATGATCACAAATGGTGATTACAAAAGTATTAATACCTGTTTTTTTTTTTTGTAATTGGATATGTCCAGATAAAAGACCACAAAAAAATTGTGCCATGCATTATAGCTATTCAGTTTTGTGCAATTTGCTAGTCAATTACATGCATCATGTTTTTATAAATTTATTCATCAGAATATGTTGTAAAAGTTAGAATTGTACAGTCTTCTTTCCATTTTTGAGTTAATGAAAAACGAAGAAGAGAAAGGGGCAGGTTTTGGATGAAGGTTTATTATAAGAGTTATTTGTTTGAATGGGAATTCCTTTCAAATAAACTTTATAATAAATGCTGATGTTTACGGGAATAGAAAAGAACATGTGACCAGTGAGTAAGGAAAAAATTAATTAATGTCTTATCATTTCTTTTGTCATTTATTGATAAACTTAATGTATGATAGAAGATCAAAAGTTAAAGATTTTTAAGAGTTGTCTTTAATCTTTCTTTTCAGACAGAGGTTTATGAAAAGTGTGTGGAGCCATTGGTAAAGAGCTGTATGGAAGGATATAATGCCACTGTTTTTGCTTATGGGCAAACAGTGAGTGCTGGTGTGATGTTATGGTCATTCTTGTTGCTTCCATGCCACAACTGATATTATGATAGTAGTAAATTTATAATATTATAAGTAACTACTGACTCTCAAGTTTACTCTAGATCCTCTCAAGTCATATGGCTATAAGCTTAAAATAGGCCATTTTACAGTTCTGTACTTGTTTACCAAAGCGATTTGGAGTGAGGCTGAAGGTGACCTTGTGTTAGAGAACAGATAACAAAGTAATTTACATTTGAAAAGCAGCGACATCTGTATCAGAACAAGTTTGCACTTAGCCTCATTCCTGTTCAGAGGCTTAGCAACCAGGCACACAATTGTAAAATGGATTATTGTCCAGGCCCCGGTTGTTTGAAGGATGGATAATGCTATACACTGGATAAATCTCTATGCGGTGGATAGTGCAGTACATTTTGGTAACACTTATCCACTGGATAGCGATTTATCCATTGGATAGTGTTATCTGCTCTTTGAACAATCAAAGCCAGATGTGTAAATGTGATTTGAATTAATTGGTAGATCTGTTCAAAACACAGCCAATTTCTGCTAGAGGAACCCTTTATGTCTATGTGTAGACTGAAGTCAAAACAGTGTACTGTTAGAGTATTTTGGTGACATTTTGTCAATGAACTTAGTAAAACTACACAGTTTCTTACAAGGTAAACCCCAAAATACCAAGAGATATGATGTCATCTGATGAAGAAGTTTCCCAACACTTTCTCAATCATTTGAATGTTTATTTGTATGACAGAGCTCTGGGAAGACATATACAATTGGTGGAACTGACAGTGCTGGCCTTTTGGAAGAAGAGTATGGGATCATTCTTAGGGCTGTTAAACAGCTGTTTCAGATTATGGAGGTAAATGTTAGCCCAGGGAAAGAAAGACAATTTTAAAAGGATTGTTAATGAAGAGCAAGCACCACGGACCACCTATTTGCTCATAAGGTTTACATTCCATTCCACTGCATATAGAGATCATCACATATTTTAACTGATTTTTCAATTATGAACCAGTTTCATGCTCCATTTACCTTCAATTTATTCTTTAAGTGAAGGAATATTAGAGGTCCTGGTTTTATAATATGAATTCTACAGCCATGCTAGAGTTGTCATGAGTGGGAGATGGATACAGAAATGCATACAGTTATGAAAATGGTTAAAAAATTTGTCAAATCTGCTGAGCTGATTTTCCTTTGACATATTTGGCTAAAGTTTGTTAGTCATCAATTCTGCCAAGCTGATTTCACTTTGATGAATTGACTAAAATTTGGCAAAATTGTCCAATCCATGAACATTCACTGAGTTTTACCAAATTTTGTCAAAGCTGCCATTTTCATTACTGCATACATTGACTGGACATATGTAAAATGGATGAGTGATGGGTAAAGAAAAGATGAGGGAATTAAACATCTTTTGGGGGATTTTTAAGTGTAGGATATTATGATTATAATGATGATGACCATGATGATGATGATGGTGATGATAACTGTTATTGTTAATATGATTATTAAAGTTCATTACCCCAACAGTTACCATCTTTAGGCAAGTGTCGGATCTCTGGAGATGTCAAGCAAAACTACTTTGCCCACACTAATACCCACGGCTGTAATCATAATTATAAGAATGATCATTATTATTGTTAATTAATTATTATTAATTATTATTAATTATTATTGTTATTATTAATTTTCATTGTCATTGCCATTGTTATTAATTCACACCAAACTGTTTACAACACTTTAATCCCAAAGACAACTCATATCCAGCTCTACGGTCTTGTTCCTCAGGAAAACAAGCAGAAAGCAGAGTTTGTAGTGACTGTATCCTATGTTGAGATTTACATGGAGGAGTTGAGAGATTTACTTGATATGGACACGTCCAGTAAAGATATTCATGTCAGAGAGGATGAGAAAGGAAATACAGGTTACTGTTATGATACAATCATTTACGTAGCATTCGGTGGATGGCTTAAGGCTAGTAGTTTGTAAAACACTGCAGTGGAATAGTTGATTTTGTTGAAACAAATTTCGTACACAAGGTAAAGGAGTTGGCCCTTATTCTCAAGCTTACTCATTTGCTAAAACGACGAAGAGAGAAAAATGAGATTGTTAAAAGTTGACAGCCAATCAGAAGAAAGGTTATACATGTACCTTTAAGAGCCGCTGATAACTTTAATGTAAAACCGGCAAAACTGCATAAAGCGCGGGAAAAACGTGAGTGTTCAAGTCGTGATTGGTTTTGCATCTGATTGGTTGACAGTGTGGTGCGAGTTTTCTTGACCAATCACAGAGCAAGGTAATACCGGAGTACTCTCAACTCTCAAATGAGTTATCAGGTACAGATTTTCAATCCAATCTTCCTCCTTTTTATAGTAATTGTGGGAGCCACCGAACAGCCCGTGAACACGGCCGATGAAGTAATGAGCTGCCTGGACTCAGGATCAGCTTGGCGGCAAGTGGGCAGCACAAATATGAATGAACGCTCCAGCCGATCACATACGATTTTCACTTTATATGTTGGTAAAAGAAGAGTGTAAAACGACATTGTCTTTTACGTAGATGTTCAATTAAGAGTATTAAGAAGCATTAGAGGGCGAACTGGCAAGTTGGAAAGTTGGGCATTTTCAATCAATTTCAAAGTGATCTTATTCGTTCGGAACAAGTTTGCTTGAGCGATGGAGTTTGATAAAAGGAGGAAAGCCCAAATTTATTGAAAATTCCCTTTTTTCAACGGGAAGATGCATAGACAGCGACACATAAATCTCCTTCTTAGCCTGGGTGGGCTAGCTGGTCGTTTTATAGAAGTCTTGCGTTGACAAGGGTTGCAGCTGCAAAAACGAGCAGCGAAAAGTAGAAGATTAATAATTATTGGGATGACGAGTTATATTAATGAAATTATGAGATGAATGTTTTAACAAATTGCCTGTTATTCGTTTGTTCATTCTTGTGTCGTTTGATTTCTTAAAAAAAAAAAAGAGCAAAAACCTCTTGCTGAAGATGAACACGTCGACAGTGAGAAAAAAAGCGACACGGGTAAGACATTGAGTATATTTTGAGTATATTTACGAGTGACGGATGAAGACTTTGAGCTAATGAGGGGGAGGGGGGACGTTTTTGTTTGTATGTGTTCACCTGCCGGTGTTTCTTTTCTCTGCGTTTATTTTTTAACCAAAGCTAGGGGAAAAAGAGGGGGGGGGTAGAGGGGTGTGTCTCTCCCCTAGATCCGTCGCTGTTTACGTCTTGACGGACATTTCAATAAAAGCCGGTTACCGGCGGTCTACCACTGTCTTTATTAGCCCTCTCACCACTGCTGTTCCGCTTACGGGCAGGTTCTCGTGTTGGGATTCCGCCTTATGACCTCTTTTCAGACCCAGTTGCCTACTTGTAATACAGTATCGGCAGCCACTTATGGAGAAAGCTATAAAAACCCTTGTCTTGTTGTTATTTGTTTTTATTATATAGATACCGATGAAATACCAGGATTTCTCCTTTTACTAAAAAATCATATCTTCACAGCGCGCAGGGAAGATACTATTTTTATTTTTCACGTGTGAGGATATTGGTGTGGCCATGGTTACCAACATAATTACCCAATTGCTGTTTCGAATATGAATGAAAAAAGTATCTATATAATAAACAGAACATTACATGGCCGCTTGGGGATACGAATTTTATCTTCTCGTGCTGAAAGTATCTCTCGTCTTGACGGACATGAGCTGCGCTCACTCGTGAGAGATACTTTCAGCACGAGATAAAATTCGTATCCCCAAGCGGCCATATAATATTCTCTATTTCTCTTTTTTTTTATCTGGTTTTGTTTCTGTTTTAAGCAGTCTTTACCATCTTGGTCAATCTATAAAACTGTGCTATTTGTAGCCTTCTTTCACTCTTTTGTTTTATAGCAAGCTGATCAATGAAAACTTACCATTTGGAGTCCTTTAATTATTTGTCAGACTTCACAGATTACAAGTATGCAAAATTCCACTTCGTTGATCTTGCTGGCTCAGAGAGAGCTCATCGAACAGGAAACGTCGGCGAAAGATTCAAGGAATCTGTGTATATTAACAGTGGCTTGCTAGCCCTGGGAAATGTGATCAGTGCTCTGGCGGACTCCAAAAAGAAGGTATGCAGAAAAGGAACTTAATATGATACGAGTAAGGAGTATTCATGCAATTCATGAACGCCTTGACTTGGTACCAGTTCAAGTACGCATGGCTTTCTCATTGCTTTCAGTTTCTGTATTTTATCGTTAAGCCTATATCATATGTAGTATACAGGCAATACGTTTAACAAATCGACAGTGGTTTAGCTTGATAACGAACATCTTCGATAAGAGTACAGACTACGCTAAACCATTGTCGATTTGTGTTTTATCACAATGTCGACGTCAAATAAAACGATTCTTTCAGTGCGTGACACTTTGCGTGACACATTGACGCGAGCAGCGTTGTCTGCTTTCTTATTGACAACGGCAGATTGGCCAATCAGATTGCGACACTACTGCCCATTGTGATAACAAATGTTTTGACCTTGCGGATGAGACGATATGACAAATTCAAAGACTAACTGCAGGTGTTAAAGTAATTAATCATCATCATTTAGCATTTGAACGTCAATTGGCCAATGCAACATCAAGTGAGTTTCCTCCATTCAAGTTGCTCCTTTGCTAGCTGCGATGCTTTCTCTCAGTTGCGATGCCTTGACTTCTGGCTCCGTAGTCCTCTTCATGACGGATTTTCCGCGGCCTGTTTTCCTTTTATCCTCAAGAGTCCATCTGATATCACATGTTCTTGTAATTTTTGGCAGACAGTAGCTCTGAAAATTTCAAGCTTTGCTTTGAATTAATTAAATGGCCGCACGTGATCCTTCTACTTTACCTTGCTGCATCTTCTGATTGCCATTGTAGGTCCTCCATGTTCCATACAGGGACAGTAAAGTAACAAGACTGCTAAAAGATTCCTTGGGAGGCAATTCCAGAACATTGATGATAACGTGTCTCAGTCCTTGTGCATCAGACTTTGCAGAAAATCTGAATTCCTTAAAGTATGCTACAAGGGTGAGTACATCGGACCTTAATTTAATGCGAGAAATGAGAAAAGTAATATTAAGTGACAAGTACTTTAGGTAAAGCGAAGGACAAGCTCTAAGAATATTCATACGTTTCCCTTCTTATAGGCTAGAAAGATACGCAACAAGCCAGTGGTTAATCGTGACCCACAGAATACAAGACTTGCCGAGATGCAAAGCGAGATACAGGTACATATAACGGGATTCGATTGTAGTCTCTCTCTGCTGGCACATTTTGGTGTATTTGAACTTCCAAAGGATACCGCAAAACATCCGGTTGAAAACTCGAAGATACTGTTGGCTTATTTAACTTGATCTTCCACCAGTGAAGATGCTAGAAACGCCTGCGTTGCATTGAGGGGAAAAAACCTTCCCTAGCCAGATAGTGCTAGCTACAACCTTCACCAAAAGTCAGTTTTCGCTCGTCGTCGGTTGAGTATTACTTTGCCTCCTACCCTCTGTTCGTCCCTCTTTCCTAATTTTTAACCTAAAAATTACACCTGTATGTTTCTCCAGCGTTTGTCGTGGCACTTCATTCCTTTTATCTGTTAACGTAGGCGCTCCGTGAAGAACTTCAGCGGCGCCGTGGTTCATCTCTTGGGTCTGCAGGTACAGTAGAAGATGCTGAGCGAATCAAGTCGCTAGAGGATGAATTAGAGAGGTAAGGAACCGCAAGGAATAAGTTGCAATACATCCTAGCATATTCATTTTTCAAAATTCTAATTGATCAACAAATTTGATCTGACAACACTTCCACTCCCAGCATGATGTAATCTATTTTGATATAGATACGGAATCGATGACAAATAATTGAATTGGGATTTCGTATTTTATATCATGATCAAATTTTCCAAACAGTACCGTGGAATATGTGCTCATAGGCTACTCTTGCAGTGTGTTTTTTGGGGGGCATCACCAATTAAATGGCAACGTTCGATTCACGCACCGTGAAAATTGGGGTGTGTTTGCTGACATAAGCTGACATGTCTACTTTTTTTTGTCCCCAGATCGCGTGGAGCGTGTGACACATATAAGCAGTTTCTTTCTGATGCTTTAAATCAACTAAAAGCTCTGCACAAGGCCGGCGTGCTGTCAAATAATCAAAGTGGCCAGTTTGACCGGTTACTTAAAGCTGTAGACCAGATCAGGTCGAGACCAATCTGGACACCTAACACCAGTCGTCAACAACAAGCCGACCTGATTGAGCAGCTTAAGAAGGAACTTAACAAGGTAATGGTGATGATTTTGAAGGTAGCAGGATGGGCAGAGTTATGCAAATTAAAGAGTAAATTTAAATAGATAGGCTTCCAATCGCCCTGACCATTTCCTTGTCTAAACCACTAAGCCCTTTCCTTCTTAGTACAAGGAAGATTTGTCAAGCGACGAAGAAATATTCGCGGAGAAATCAAAGGAGATCGACTCTCTGAGGGAGCATACGCATAAACTCGAGGAAGAGAATCTTACACTTAACAATCAACTGCAAGACGCGCAGAGTCGCTTGAAAAAACACGAAGATCAATTATTCCAACAACAACTCCAGCTTAATCAACTCCTCCTTAACCAAAGAGGTCATCAAGGTACGAATGAAGTTTCTAACGAAAAAAATTGCCCTGCTTTCTAAACAAAAGTACGACCAGATTTGTAAAACCCTTCTGTATAGTTATCAGGGCGTAAAATTGCGCCTAATACAAGCGCCAATGCGACTAAATTTTTCACTTTGGCGACCAAATCCTGAAAATTAGTCGCCAAATTAGCGACTAGAATTTCTAATCACACCTTAGATCTAGTGATTGTTGAAGATTTGTAAAGATAAATCTGCAGCAAAGTTCCTCATTAAGCTCGTTTCCAAAACGCACCACATGCACGATGTCGAACGTAAATCTATCGTCACTAGACGCCATATTGGATTTAGGTAACCTATAACGCTGTATATGATCCATTCTAGTGTCCTCTTTGTAACTCGTGCGAATTTAGCGGGCTCATTTTTGATGTTTGTATGACTGTATCACTGATATGATAATCTATCTAGTACAGTGACAGGNGGGGCACTGTCCCGAATGGTCCCGAATGATACCGCACTTGTGTCCCTTTGAACTTGAGTCGTATAATAAATCTCTTATTAACCATGCTTGCTCGGGACCGTACTGGAAGAATATCGGCCCTCGGTCTTTTTTGTACGGACCAAACTGCGCTCGGTCCGTATTGTCAAGACCTCGGGCCAATATTCTCCCAGTGCGGCCTTCGCGCTTGGTTAATAAGATATATAAACTGTTCATCGAGAAAGAAAATGTCAAGGGAAATGCCCTTGTCGTCGGCCAAAACCGAGACCTGCGGTGGTGAGACAGTGAGGTTATTGCCCATCCAAATCTTATTTTCCCGTTAAGAGGCCTCCTAGTATCACCCTTACCCCTTACCCGCCATATTTAAACTCTGCGTGTCATATTACTGAACAAAGACAGCCATACATCTTTCTTTTCTTGTGAAAGCTAAAGGCATTTTCATTTCTAATTCTTCTTACTTTCAGCTGTAAAAAAAAAAAAGACTTTTAATTACTTCTGTGTCGCCTGTAGTTCATAGTTGACAGAATTATACAAGATTTCCGAGCACGCAGTCAGTTGCTTGTTAGCCAACACGAGGAAGAGGACGAGGTTGTATGTACCTTGTCAGACAGCAGTGAAAGTGCAGACGAGGCGGAAGACGAACCTGCAAGGTACACTCAACAGAATTATGAGGGGAGTAGAGGCTAAGTGGAAAAGTGTGTGATTTCTTTTCAATGATGTGCCAATCGACCAGGATCTTTCTGTGCTAACTAAACCCTCCTGTTTACATCAAAATTGAGTCATGCTCATCTCAGAAGTTACACAAGAGAGTCAGTTCTGACTTTATTTGCTTGTTTTTTCTTTCATAATCCGTTTATTTGTTGTTGTTAATTCTAACAGTAATATTTGTTTGTTCTCAGGGAATTGGGCAGGACTTGGAATATAAAAAGAGAAGGTTCGAAAATACCTCGGTTACCAGAGTCTGTTCCTAAGCAGTCAAAGACTTCAAAGATCTTGGGTAACGGCAAGGTGAATGGCTAAAAACAAAAAACAAAAACCGCTTTTTGTTTGAAATGAAACCGAAAAATTCCTTAAGGTTTTTTGTGACTTTGCCATAAATTTACACCACTCTCTCTACACACCCTTACTTTAGATGGTACATGCGTTTACCAAGATAAACTTGTTCGCGAAATTGTTTGCATTAGGTCTCTGCACAAGATTTGGCAGAATCGAAGGACAGAGGATCAAGACCTGACTCAGCGGAACGTAATGAAGTTGAAGCATTGCGGTCGAGTACTCAAGTTATTGGAAAGGAGGTAAAACAGTCAGAGTTAAGACTCCACTCCGCCCAGCAAAAACTGAGGGATTTGACTATTAATATAAGGTAACGTTGCTTAACTTTGATCTGCCCCATTCCTCATCTTCACGTCCTCGTTCTGTCCCTCCTTCCTCGCTCCTACTTTACCATAACCCTCCCTTCACCCATCTTCTTTTTCCTCTTCCTCCTTCTGCTTCTCTTCGTCTTACTTGTTCTCTGTCCCTTATCACTCATGTTCCTCCTTCCTGTCCTCCTTCCCTCTTCTTCCTCCCTCTTCGTATATTTCTGCTTCTTTTATCGCTCCTTTCTTGCTGCTGCTGCTGCTGCTGCTGCTCCTCCTTCATGTTCTCCATCTTCTCCTTATCATCCTCTTCCTCTACTTCATCGTTCTTATTCCCCTTTTCCTTCTCAACCTTCTCCCTTCCTTTTCCTTCCCTTCCTCCTCGTTTTTCTTTGTTACACCTCTCTTTCTATTCTCTTACATACAATGTTATATTTAAATTATGAATTTTTAGGCAAAAAGAAGAGTTGATTAAGGAACTAGCTAAGAGTGATAGGGAAGCCAAGGAAACCAAAAACCAATACTCCGAGAAAATAAAGTCCATGAAGCAAGAGTTAGAAAAAGCTAAGAAAGAGTTGGAAGAAAGTAAGAAAACGCTTGAAGAATACGAGTCTAAAACCAATCACGAAGTCGCAGAGAAACAAAAGGTCGAAACTGAGTACAAGAGAAAGTTACAGGCGGTCGAGGCCAAGTTACAGGCTTTGAAACGAAAACAAAAGGTAAGAATTTCTGTTTTGGACGTTTATTCAAGTATTCTTGGTTATACTTGGCACTCCTTTCTGATTAAAAGCCGTAGGACGCTGAACAGAGCTTATTTTGTATTACCTACACGTAAGATGAAGTTTATACAAAGGGCTCTCATATCCTTCGTCGGTGAACAGCTGGAACAGTTGAGATAACAGCGCTGGAACCTGGGCCACTGTGAAGCCCGAGGCTGTGCATTGGGCCGCTGCGTCCATCACGTTTTGTCTCAGACCAACCTTTTTTTAGCTTATCATCGGCACTTCGATGTTATGATTCGTTAGCTTTTGGTTCTTCATTTTACATTGTGCTGGAATGCCTTTTTGAGTGGTTCGTCTCGCAACTTCGTCAGTTGTATCATACATGAGTTTGGATTTCGAAAAACGATAGCTTACGTCTCTTAAATTTTCTTTTAATATCCCACAGGACAATGAAAAAATAAGTGCCCTGCACGAAGAAAGGGAAAAGAAAGTTCAGGAACTTGAAGTGCACATTGACAGGATGAGAAACCAACAGGATCAGCTCCAGAAAAAGCTGAAAGAAGAGGCTGACAGGAAAATAAAAATGGAGAAAGACATGCAAAAACAGCAGCACAAAATCAAGGAACTGGAAGATAATATGAACCAGCAGCAGAAGATACTTAAAAGGAAAACTGAGGAGGTCGCAGCCGCCAAGCGGCGACTGAGAAGTGTTGGGAAACAAGGATCGGAAGAAAAGGAGAGGTACGATATCACAGAGAGGGGATTATGTGTCAAAGATTTGTCTGCTGGAAAAGGAACAGCTTTTCTCTCACTAATTTCTATCAGGGAAAACCCTAGGGAGGTCACATTTCAATCTGCTTTTAAAGGACGAGTGGGATCTCAGAGTTTCCTGACCGTCGCGGTCCTTAGTTTTGAATTGTACCCAAAGTCGAAAAAATAATACCACTAGGACTTCTACTGTTCTGTTTTCAGCGATGAACAAGCAAAATTAGAGCAACGCCGTCAATGGCTTGATAATGAAGTGGAAAAAGTGTTGAGGAGAAAGGAGGCCATGGAAGCTTTGACAGAGGAGCTGAAGAAAAGAGAAGCCATCTTATTAAACAAAGAAGCCATGCTGGCCGAGAAAAGTGAATTGGAAATAAAGAAACTGCGTTCCAGCCAGATACTTACCAAGGTAACAAAAAAGCACTTTTTCCTTCGATGTTTTCTTGAAGGAGTCATTTCTGTGTTAGCACTATTTTAATAGTGACTTTAAAGCCACAGCTTAGAGAAACAGTTAAATGCGTCAAACCACGTCATACAACCTGTGAACACCAATGAGTCCCTTCTCAGTGCTGAAACCCACTTCCATTTTGATTCCTATAGGATATTCTTCGACTGTCTACCCAACTTGGAGAAGTTGATAAACAAATCCAGCAAAAGGGGAAAAATGTGGACGGTACGATTTTTTTTTGTAAATCCTGAGTCACTGGTTTGTACGAGATATCACTAAGAGACACTTTCGAAGAGAGTCATTGAACTGCTTTTATCTTTACAAATCGATTGACATTTCTGTGGTGTAAAAAAGATACAAAAGTTGACAAGGTCAAGAGAGGTTTTATTGAACTTGAATAATCAGTTTCGTAACACAGAATATCTACATGGATTCTTTAAGTTTTTCACGTGTATTCACGGCTCTGTTCTGGTGTGCAATATTGTAATTCGTATCGCTCGATTTGCTGACTATTACCCTGATTGCGAGAATGAAGCCCGAATTTCACTCGTTCAACATCTACAAATTTTAGAATATTAACAGCTATGCGGACTGGACTTAGACACTGTAATTCATAAAGTATGTGGCAATTTTTTTAATAACCGTTGAATTATCACAAGATGCCGACAATTATTTCTACCACACTTTTTCTAGATACGGACGCTTCGAGTCAAAGTAGGAACAATGAAAGTGCTAAAACTTTAGAAAGAACGAAAGATGAACTTCTAAAACAACGAGAGCTTCTGGAACAAAAACTGCAGGAAGGCTCTTTGTTAGATCCAAAGGAGGAAAGGAGGTAAAATGGACGTGTTCTTCTCTCCTTATTTCTCAGTGGTGATGAACCTGTACAATTTGCTCTCTTCATCAGTACACTGTGAAGTGGACTGGTGACGAGAACTGATAAATCTATAAGCTCTAGGTAGTGATCGTGATATACTCTCTGACTGACAAGAGGTTTATGAAATGAAGATTTATCGATCGTTTTAACTGGAACCGGTGCCATTTTCCATCATACTAAGGCTTTTAGGTTGAAACTGAACTGAATACCATCAACTTATGGAATGTATTGTACCTGGAAAGGCGTTAAAATGCGAGCACAAAATAAAGATAACCTTTGTGATAATCAGACATCGATATACTTCTGTTCTGTTTAGGCTTATTGAACTGGACGAGGGTATCGACGCGCTGGAAGCTGCTATCGAGTTTAAAAACGATGGAATTGCTACCCAACAAGAAGAATTGGACAGCGGTCAACTTCTGAGAGACAAAGACCGAGAAGGACTGGTGAACAAGCTAAGTAGTCTCTCACAAAGGGAAGCCACCGCCCTGTTGTCAAAATACTTTGAGAGAGTTGTCGAGTTACGGGGGAGTGAGAAGAAACTGGAGCTGCATTGTAGCGATTTGGAGGTAAGCGTGAATGAATCAGCGATTGGGTATATTACTCAAGGCGGTCTAATGATAATTCGACTTCCTCTTGGAAAAAAAAATGAAAAATATTTAATTATAGGTTAAAACAGCGAAAAATGGCTCTCCCTCGGTGAGAAGTTCAGGATATTTTCTTTACTCAACTGAAAATTTATAATTTTTTTTAGTTTGGTTTTCTTTTACTCGAAATTACATTTTGTGGATTTCTCCGCAACATGGGTCTGTTACTTACCATCTTTTACTTTGAATTTCGTCAGGTTCGTATAACCGAGCAAGAACGGATCATCGGTGAACTGGGTCGAGGATTGCAGCAAGCTGAAATTAAAGGAGATCGAAGGCTGGTGGAACATCAAAAGAAATACGAACAGAGGATTCAGTTCTTAATGAATAAACTTCGTGATGCTGAGCTGAATGAGACTCCAGATGAAAGAATAAGGTATATTTTTGAAATACGTAACAACAAACCGTACATACATAGGTTCATTTTTAAAATACTTAACAACAAAGAGGATCATAGTTGATTTAGTTTTTAGTGCAGTCCTTTAGTCAATTTTCCTTTGCTTGTTTATTGCTTTTTTTTCTATCTTTTTCAAGAATTGATGCAAACGTTGAAATCTAATTAAACTAGAACTGATATCTACTCTAACTCAAGAAGTAAAATACTGTAGGTAGATAAAAGTTATGTCTTATCAAAAGAGACAAATGACTTTCAGCAGCCTTTCGGAAGCAAGGAAAGCATTAAAATTGTAACATTATGTAAGTTAAGCCAAATAATCCTTCTTTATTGTAGTGAAGTCGAAAATAGAGCCCAACAGTTAGAGAAAGATCTGTACTACTACAAGAAGACAAGTCGTGATCTGAAAAAGAAACTACGAGAGAAGATGGTGTCTGGACTGGGTACTAGTGTTGAATCCGATGTTATAATGGCCAGTAGTGAACTGGAAGCTCAGCACAAAAGTACAGATGTCTACACCAAGCAATTAGCGTCAGAAGTTACCCGTATGAAGGTAAAGATTACCTGAGGGATTTTATAAGATTCACTGTTGGCTTGCTTTCTGCATTTTGGGTATGTTGCATGCGGTGTCTTGTTTTATTCTTTGGTCATACAATTGACTGTTTGACTAGCTGAGAGTAAATGACTGACTTATTGACTGACAGACTGGATTATGGACTGATTGACTAGCTGACTGACTGTCTCAATGACTGTCTCAATGACTGTCTCAATGACTGAATAATACGGGTAAGTCTCTAGGGAAACTGTGAAGTGCTGCTGCGTCAGTGGGGAGTATTACAAGAAAATTTTGCTTTATCAACTGAGCTGTTTATGTAAATGGGCCACTGTAAAGAGTTTCTAAAGATGTGTTTTCGAGCTTAGCCTTTCGTCAAAGCAAATCCACACTCTAAAGAAGAACTAACACTGGAACCGTCAGTTCTAGTTTCTCTATACGGTGGCCAGTTCGCATTATCAACTCATTTGATAAACCACACTATCTTTTCTCAATAGATAACTGATTGACTGTTTGAATGAATGAATCAGTGACTGACTTGTTGAATGATTGACTGACTAAATGACTGACTAACTCACGGATCAACGGATGGACTAAGTGAATTTATAACTGATTGATTAATTGATTTTTGCTATTTTGTTTTCTATCACCTTTAAAGCATTCTCTCGCCGAGAAGGGACTAGGAGTTCCTTCTCAAGCTTCCACGCCTGTAAGGGTCTCTCGTAAAGAGCTTCGACAGCTAAGGTACTTTAAAAACTAAGTAACGAGCCAAGTTTGATGGCTGGTGTCTTTGGTTGGTACTTTGGTTGTGACACAACGCCAAAGAATAATGATGACAAAATTCCTAAACCGCTATTTTGAAATATGTCCAATTTTTGTAGTAGACTCTTGTTTAAAATGGCGGCCAAAGATTTCAACTGACACAATCAGGTAGTGAATACATGGAATAGATCAGGGCTCGACACTAACTTTTCAACATACTAGCCAAGTGGCCAGTGAAAACTTAGATATTACGACAATTTCATTGTGTTTACTAGCCAAACTGACGGGTGGAAATCGAAAATCACTCGCCAAAACTAATTACTTATTACTAATTAAACTAATTACCAAAACTAGTCTTTGGGTAGTTGGCTACCGTTAGTGTCGAGCCCTGATAGATTTTTATGGCTGGCTAGAAGTGGATGGTATGCTAACAGTGAGAGAAGTGCAGGACATTTTTACTATGTCACACCGTCATTTCCCTTATGATTTTTGGCTTCTACATCTTAGGCATTTTCAGTTTTTTTTTTTTCTGTTTTTATTTTTACCTCAGTGTACAGGAAGTGTCAATGCGTAGATCCCAGTCTTCTGTGGCCAGTACGGTCCCCGAATTGCCAGGTCTCTTTGACAAGCAAAGTCTTGTGGAAGAATCCGCTGACGATTTAGTGCAAGGTGTGTTTCATGGCTCGTTATTTGTCATATTTTTGAAGGATATCAGTAGATAGTGTAAACTAACATCATCTAAATCTGACCGATTTATCAAGACCGACTTTACTAATATATCATCTTTTCCCTCAGATTCAATTGAACAAAACAAGAATCCTTGGGCTTAAACACTACATGTTATCTTAGCAAAGCGTGAAAGGACGTTGTGAGGAATTGACAACATGGATGATTTCGATGTATAAACATAAATTAGTTTTCCATGGTCTATGCGACAACATTTGTTTCAGCAAACTACAGCCCTTCTGTTTTAATGTATTTATCAGTTGGTCGACCCTGTAAAGAACGTGATGCGGAGCTCAATAGCAATTTTTTTACCATCTACATTCGTCATGAAAACAGATCAAGTTAAAAAAAAAAAAAAGAAAATAAAAAAAAAAAAGAAGTCATTCAGGGGCTTGAATTGGGTCAACGTTTTTCACCTTTGCGTGCACGCGGGTCAGAAGTTTTGATAACGTTCGTTCTATCAGCTGATGTGCTTTGTTTTCATTTTATATCGCCGTCTTCCCTTTAGAAGCATGCCACTGAATCTAGTTAGGTAATAGAGCCTAACGGCCATTACGAACTTATACATGTTGAACACACCTCCCCCGTACTCATCGTCAGTCTCCGTTTTTTTTTTTTTTTGCCGGAGGACTGGAGGAAGTAAATTTGTTTGGCCTCTTCTAACATGCGAATTTCTCCGTGGGAATTCATTTTTGACGATTGAGGACAATCCGAAAAGTCCTCAAAAATCAAGACCTGCATAAGTTCCAAGCTTCAGGCGATCAACTAGGGGCCCGTTTCTTGAAAGTCCCGGTAACTTAGCGGGCCCGAGGTCATGTTTTAAAATAAAAATTCAAAGGGATAGAAAAGCAGGTTCTGGCCCCCAAACCAATCCATTTTGTTTCTTTAGTTGATGGTTTCATTTTTCTATTTTCAAAACTTTTGAAATTCTCATCCTGAATGAAAACAGAACCGCTTTACGGGTCCGTTAAATTACCGAGACTTTCGAGAAACGGGCCCCAGGGGTCCGTTTCTCGAAAGTCCCGGTAACTTAACGGGTCCGAAGCCATGTTTTAAAATCAATATTTAAAGAATAGGAAAGCAATTTCTGGTACCCAAACCAGTCCTTTTGTTTCTTTAACTGATAGCTTTACTGTATCATTTTCAAAACTTTTGAAATCCCCATTTTAAATGAAAACAGAACAGCTTTACGGGCCCGTTA